AGGTGAGAATTTGTAGTACTAACCACATACTCCTCCGTAAGCTTTGAACTTGGTGATTCTATTACGAGAATGGCTACTCGCGCACTAGGGAGTGGAGAGATGGCGGGAATAGCGTGTACCCACGTGGCTATGGGTTTGGATTGGTGGAGTCTTGTATTCTCGGGTGGCGCGGACCCGTTCTTGTTTGAGGATCTGAGGGTAGGTTGGTATATGTAGGTCGGGGACCTGCATATGTCGTGGTGGTCTGGAATTCCCACCGGGTTTTAATCGGTTCAATCGTCGTTGCTCCTCGGTTATGGAGACTCAACTCACTGTTCATCATCGTAGTATTAATAACTGGAACTTAAGAATGGTTGATGAAGGTGTTGGATATGAAGTTTCATGATCTCATTACAGATCGTGTCACCTTTGTATATGAGTTTATGAAGTTTCAATTGTTGAAATAAAGAATTTTGTAAAGAGCTTTTACGCAAAATAACTTTGATTATTGCTAAAACCATACCTTGAATCCTTGAGCCTGCATTCTTGAGTTATCAGTTCTTATTTTGGTTAAGTCTTGTTGAGTACTTTTGTACTCAGGGTTCGTTGACCCTTGTTGCAGGTGAGTCTCATGAGCAGATCTGTTGTGGATCGTGCTGCATGACAGTTGTACCTTGTGATGACGTTGAGAAGTAATTGTGTGGCCCTTGGGTAGGGCAGCCTCATTGTGTGTTTTGTATTATATTATAATACCGCTCCACTACTTTGGTTTGTATTAATATCGAACTTAGTTGTATGGTTTGAAACAAATGGTTTGTAAACTATATTATTGTAAGTCTTCCGCTACTTTTACTCTGATTTATCTATTTGAATAAACTGTTGTAATACTACAATGACTCTGTAATGTGATCCTACTCGGAAATCGTGGATGATTCGGGGTTCCCCGAGGACACCCGACAGTCTTCTTAAATTACCAGGAACATATGCATAGATGTCAAAGGTCGTTGGACAGTGATAGGTGCATGTGGGCCTTATAATTTAGGAGGTTCTGCCACATCATGCCGGGCCTGACGACGGTTGTTGACGACGCTGTGAGCATATTGGTTTGGCCTAAGGCGTTCGTGCATAGGTGGCCGGTGTGGAGCGGGCGCCGGGTCAAGTTGTGGTGTAGCTATGGCCTCTGGTTCCACGTCCGGCGACTATAGCGGTGAGTGGATGGAGCGATGCGTCAGGTGCGTCCCTGCTCCCCTGGTGGGGAGAGAGGGCGTGAGTCGGTGTCGCGACGCGGAGCTCTCCGCCTGCTGAACGGTGGCGGTTTCCACCAGGGCCTAGAGGTTCCGGTGGCCCGCCTGCTTCTGGGGGTCGACGAGCTTAGGAAGGCCGCGCAGAAGCATCGCCGCAGCGGCGATGTTCTGGCCAACCCGAGTGAACTGTGGGGGATCGTTCCCCCCGTCCATGATGTTGCGCTGGACCTAGCGGGCACGACACCGAGCATTGCTCGCCAGGTCCCACGCATGGGGTGCAGCGTGCTGCGCTGAGCACGCCAGCGTAGGTGGCGGTTGGTTTCGCCGCCTTTGTCGTATCTCCTCGCTGTGCTCTTGCGCACATGTGAGGGCCTCCACGCGAGGGTCCGAAGAGGTGTGAGTCTGTAGAGATTCCGCTACTACCGGCGGCTGTCCTGGAGCATCCGCCATAGCGCACTCCTGAGATAGAGGGTGGCTAGGTGCCACCGCGTCGCTGATGCTGGAGCCATCGCTCTTAACATCGTCATCTATGAGGTCATGGAAAGAGGTGGGAGCATAGCCCGCCATCCCCACAAATTCGAATGTGAGAGGGGGTGGTGTGAGCATGTTTCGAAGCCCCCATGCATATGCGTTTGTGGGGGACGCGAGGCCGTAGGGGAACCAGTTGTATGACAGTTGCGATGGGGACAAAGGGGTCCCTTCGGAAAATCGGTGGAAGATATAAAAAAGTGAGTAAAGAACAGTATATACATTACTCACAGTGGGGTTTGAGCCCTGAGTGGGATCGGTGCGAAGTGTAGGCGTCTCATCATCGAGGTCACCGAGTGTCCCGACGTCAACGGAGGGCGCTCCTCCTCGTGGAGGTGAAGTATGTCGAGCCGGTCAGCGACGAAGTCTAGGCTTCCGAAGAGGAAGGCCTAGAACAGCTTGAAGACAAGTGGAACCCACATCCCAACAGATGGGAGTGTGGGAAACTCCAGTGAGCCGAAGCGAGTTGTATTGCTTGAGCCCGCCATGCCGAAAACGATAGAAAGGTGGGCCATCCGATGACCAAAAGCGTGAACGTACGGCGTATCTCCCCACGGATAGCGCCAACTGTCGGTGCAGAAAGTGACCAACTAGTAAATATTTATCGTTTTGCCATACGTTGTGATCGGATATGGCCTAGCACTCAATGACACAGGATTTATACTGGTTCAGGCAACATGCCCTACGTCCAGTTTGAGTCGATCGATGACTTTATTCCTGAGCCCAGGTGCTCAAAGTTTGTTGTGGGGTTACAAATGAGAGGGAGTAAGATGGAGGGTATTAGAGGTCCGGTCAGACTCTAGACCGAAGGGCCGAGAGTGACAGGAGCTCCTATGTGCGCTAAGTATCAAAACGTATGCTCTGTGTAGCTTTAGAGTGACTAAAGCTAGCAGAGAGTGAGTCGGAGCAATCCGTATGTTGTTTATTGTTTTTGAAAAGCCGATCCCCCTTTGGGAGAGGGCGCGTCCCCTTTTATAGATGAAGGGGACGGCCTTACAAGTAAGAGAGAGAAAGAGAGTGAGTGTGTGTTTTCTAGTCTTGTTACCTACGCTGCCGGGTACAAGATGGTCATCGACGTCTATAATACTGTTTATGTCAGACGCATGTGGCAGGTATTGCCGTATTTGGCTGATATGGTGGAGGAAGGCGCCCACAACACTATTGGGCGAAGGACGGCGCCCACAACACTGTAGGGCAAAGGACGACGCCCGCAAAACTATTTGAGTCCTGATATGCCTAGAAGGTTTGTGAAGCACCCTTCTGGCATGGTCTAACAGTACCATCCTGCAGGCACGTAGGGTACGGTCCCTGATATTGCGGTTGACTGGAGCACCCTGCCTTACTCGCTCTGTCCGTTTCCTAGGTCTTCACCGAGCGGGCATCCCCGGTCGGTCGTTCCCCAGTCGGCTCCGACCTTCTGGTTGGACAAGAGCTGTAAGCAGAGGTTTGGTGTACTCCTGGTCGGTGAAGCGAGTCGGAGTCGGAAGCGTGCACCGTTCCTTCTTAGCTAGGCCTTCCAGTCGGAGAGGCGGGCTAGAGTCGGAAGCGAGCGTTGGAGTTGGAGGCGAGCTGGCCAGGCCTTTTAGTCGGAGAGGCAGGCTGGAGTCGGAAGCGCGTGCCATTCTTCCTTGGCCAGGTCTTCTGGTCGGAGAGGCGGGCCGGAGTTGGAAGCGAGCGAGCCGTCGGAGAGGCAGGCTGGAGTCGGAAGCGCGCGCCATTCTTCCTTGGCCAGGTCTTCCGGTCGGAGAGGCGGGCCAGAGTTGGAAGCGAGCGAGCCAGGATCGCCCTTCTGGCCTTTTGTTAGGTTTTGGGGCCAGCCCATGAGTTGTGCGTCGTTCGCAACGTCATCTGCTGGCTGGGCTTTTGCTGGGAAGCGGGTCCATGAGGGACCCCGGGTTTATGAACCCGACAATATATTTTTCTTTCCATTGCAAAGCGCATAATTATTTAGCTATAAATATACCATAACTTTAATTTTTCATAATAGCACCCACGTGTTTCTATGACTCAATATCGACCTTTGTAGCTTTCTAGACGTATAATATCAACATACGTAATTTTTTTGTCGACGTGTCAAGGATTGGTCTGTCCACCAATGATTGAGACTTCTCTTGAATTTTGACATGACAAAACTCGTTAGGAATTACATAAATACATTTGTTTAGGTTTCATTAGATAATAATCTGGTCAAGATTCCGATTCACGAAATAATTAGTTATAGCGTAGACTAATCCATATTTAATAAAAATAAGCTTTATTTCTAGTAAAAAATACATCAGATGTTGTAAATCATTCTCCTCAAATCAAAACTTAATACACAAGCAAACATAATAAGTGCTGAAAAGTAGGAGAGGCCTACTCGGATCTAGACATTTTGCATCAGGAACCCCGATTTATTTCAAAAACTATTAAGACCCTTCTACCTTTTCTTCATCTCTAACATCTTTATATTTGGAACCCTTTATTTCTTTCTATTCTCTTCCCCACCTCTAATATGCTTTGCTTTTGGAGGAGAGGCCCGCATCGGATGGTTAGACGAACCACTTTAGGATTAGGTTGGACAAAAATCTAAAGTGGCTAGAAATTTTGCTCTTTAGTATATATATATATATATATATATATACACCGAGGTATACAAAATGAACTCCATTTTGTATGTATTAGTGGCCCATGGAGATGGAGTGGAGGTAACCGTGGGCCGAGAGTGTGGTCGGACGGCCCAAATGGAGAGGAGAGGCGAAGCCCGAAGCCCGCAGGGGCAAAGGCTGGACTGATGATGTGCTTTTGCCTGCTTGCCTTTCCACTTCATACTTTCCAGCCGAAGCCCGCAGGGGCAGCGGTTTTCGTTGTTTGCTGCCGCCGGCTTCTAATTCCCTCCCTCTCGAGAAAATTGCAGTTTTAGCAGCCTAAACAATGCGCTTCGCAAAACTAGCATCCCAAACATTATTTTCGTAAAAATAGCACCCAAAACAATTGCTTCTTGTTTTCTTTACCATTTTACCTTTTCTCCTTCTTTCTCATTATTTCTCCTAAAATCTGGACAAAAGTGCCCATGTGCTAATCAAGACGTTAATTTCACGTAACATCCGCATCTGCTGGGCACTGGGCAGCGCTGGTCGCCGCTGCAGGCCTTGTGCCTGGACACATACACTAGATGGCCACATACCCACATAATAGAATAAACAAATTTATGCGTATCACACGTTCCGCCGCCGTCTCTTTCCGCACGCGAGCCCTAGCTGGCTCTCCATGGACGACGTGCCGCCGCCGCTCGAGATGACCCCGCCGGCCAACGCGCCGCCGCCGTCAGACGTGCCTCCGCAGCCCGACGTGCTGCCTCCGCCTGATGCCGCAGCACACCCTATTGCTGAGGGGGACTTGATCGCTACGGTAAGAGCCCTGCTGCCCGTTGCCGCGACTCCGGCCTTGTCGCACGGCGCGCCGAGGCCGACCCCACTGCCTGCCGTACATAGGTATGCGATGAACGACTGTACTCCTATTCTCCCAATTCCTGTCTGAAGTGCAGTTTAATGAAGTTAATATGATTTGTCAGGTCCGATTTAGAATTTGTGGAAACTATGCCACCAGTTGATTGGGATAGCTTGCAGATCATAGAAACACATGATGAGGAAGGACGAATCGAACTTTTGAGTGAAGATCAGATGTACGTGTTTTTAGGCTTGAGAGACGAGGAGTCAGGAAAGGTAGCTGCATCACATGATCGTGTAATGGTTGAGGAGGGTAGTCATGAAGATGATGCTGTGATTCCTAATAATGATGACATACCCACTGAGGTTGTTATTTCATATGATAAGGACCACCCACAAATGGATCTTGGTACGATGTACCCATCAATGGACGAGTTTAGGTTGGCAGTGCGACAATTTGCAATCAATGAGGAGTTTCAATTAGGGACAACGCACTCTGATAAGGAGAGATTTAGAGGTTTCTGCAAGTCTAGTGATGATTGCCCTTGGAAAATAAATGCCAGCAAACATAAAGGCCAAAGCACCGTTGAGGTAAATATAGGTAGCTATATTCCTAAAAATTAGTGTGATTTTCGTAAATTTATTTGTTTCTTATTACTTGTGTAATTTGCAGGTCACAGCTTTAACTGATCGCCATACATGTGTTTCTTCCATGAGGATGAAAACTACTGCAGCTTCTCAGAAATGGGTAGCTAGCAAGGCTGTGAGTATCCTTAGGGATTCTCCCAATATGGGTGCTAAAGAATTTCAAGATAAGTTGCAAAAAGATCACTCTGTCACAATTTCATATGACAAGGTATGGAGGGGTAGAGAAATAGCTCTGGCCGAGGTTTATGGTAAATGGGAAGAGAGTTTTGAGCTACTCTTCAGATGGAAGGCCGAGGTACTGAAGAGGTCACCTGGAAGTGTAGTGGAGATTGATGTAATTGAAGCGGATGGTAATGTATATTTCCATCGTTTTTTCTGTGCTCTTAAACCATGCATTGATGGTTTCTTGGAAGGATGTCGGCCTTACTTGAGCATAGATTCTACAGCACTTAATGGAAGATGGAATGGTCATTTAGCCTCGGCTATAGCAGTTGATGGTCACAATTGGATGTACCCACTTGCATATGGGTTCATAGCTTCTGAAACGGAAGACAACTGGACTTGGTTTATGAATCAACTTAAGAAGGCAATAGGTGATCCTCCACTCCTTGCTGTGTGCACGGATGCATGTAAGGGCTTAGAGAATGCAGTAAAGAATGTGTTTCCTAATGCAGAGCAAAGAGAATGCTTTCTTCATCTTATGAAAAATTTTCAGAAAAGGTTCAGAGGGTTTGGCAAGATGTATCCCGCGGCAAGGGCTTATAGGGAAGAAATATTCTATGATCACATGGTAGCAATTCTTAATGAATCTGAAGAAGTGTTGAAATGGTTAAAAGACTACCATAAGCTGTTGTGGTATAGGTGTGCCTTTAATCCAGAAATTAAGTGTGACTACATCACTAATAATATAGCAGAGGTTTTTAATAATTGGATAAGAGACATCAAGGACTTACATTCTTTGAACTTGCGATATAAGGTGAATATAGCTACCTATATTTTCCCTACATGTGTTTTTTCAAATGTATATGTTCGATATTAATTGTGTAATTTGCAGGTCAGAGAGATGATCATGAAATTGTGGAACAAGAGAAGAAATATTGGAGATAGACTACCAGCTGGCAGGATACTTCCAAGTATTATGGTTCAGCTAAAGGCAAATACTAGAGGGTTGGGACACTTGAAAATACATGCATCTGCTAATTGGAGTGCAGAGGTCTGGGACAATAGCAAGAAAGTTGAAAGGCATATTGTGAAGTTAAATCAACGGACTTGTACTTGTCTTGAATGGCAACACACTGGTAAGCCATGTCAACATGCATTGGCCTTTATAACCACACAGCGGGGAGTTGACCTTGAACAATTTGTGCACGAGTATTACTCGGTGGATAGATTCAAGGTTGCTTATGGTAGAGAGATTGAGCCAATGACAAACAAAACACAATGGCCTCAAGTGGACTTGCCATTTGTTGTTGGTGCTCCTCTTGCTAAAGGAAATATGGGAAGACGAAGAAAACTCAGGTTGAAAGGGTGTCTTGAAGGTGGCCATAAGAAGAAAGGTGCTAAAGATGTAGAAGGTGACAATGCTACTGCTCCAAATAATGATACTGCGCTAACTAATGCTAAAGGGAAGAAAATGATTAGAGGCCCAATGACTTGCAAGAAATGCGGTGAAAAGGGTCACAGGCAAGCTAGTTCCAAGTGTCCACTCAACGGGACAAAGAAAAAGAGGCAAGTCCTATTTTTTTGTTGCAACCCTTGAATCACCATGTCATTACAAATATTATTTTTTGAACTTGTAGAAAGAGACAGCAGCCTAGAAAGAACGTTACAAAAGAGAATCCAGATAGGCTTAGCACCCCACAAAGGCCGACAAGAGAACAAATACTACGGGATAGTCCAGGAAGGATAACGAGAAGGTATGAAATAGTAACACATTTAACCTATGTCATTTTACTCTAAACAAATAAAAAGATTTGTCTAATTGTCATTACACACATTTGTGTAGCCGTCTTGCTTTTTTACTGGGAGATGACAGTTCTTCACAGACCTCCACCACTACTCCTATGAGGATACCTACTGCACTTGCACTAAAGAAGATGACTCCAAAGAGAAAGCTACATATTGGATGAATGATATTTCGCAAGATGTGGTCACTTTTATTTGATATGAAATAAACTCATTTAGGTTTAATTTATGGGTCTGTGAGATGAACTCCTTTAGTCTAGTGTGAGATGACCTCGTTTTCCCTTCATCTGTGAGATAGACTCGTTTTTCCTTATCTGTGAGATGAACTCATTTAATCTCAAATTAAGAACGTGTGATACGCATAAATTTGTTTATTTTATTATATGTGTATGTGGCCATCTAGTGTATGTGTCCAGGCACATGCAGTCACACGCAGGCAGCCAGCGCCCAGGCCTGCAGCGGCGACCAGCGCTGCCCAGTGCCCAGCAGATGCGGATGTTACGTGAAATTAATGTCTTGTTTAGCACATGGGCACTTTTGTCCAGATTTTAGGAGAAATAATGAGAAAGAAGGAGAAAAGGTAAAATGGTAAAGAAAACAAAAAGCAATTGTTTTAGGTGCTATTTTTATGAAAATAATGTTTCGGTTGCTAGTTTTGCGAAGCGCATTGTTTAGGCTGCTAAAACTGCAATTTTCTCCTCCCTCTCCCCCCAGTCGTCACTCGTCAGGAGGCGCGCGTGAGTGAATGCGTGCGTGATCCATCATCATCTCCTCCATCTCTGTCTGGTGTGGTGGTTTGAGAGAAGAAGAGACTCGACGGCCGCCGACGCTTGACAAGACCGGAGGGATTCGAGTCCCCCACCTCATTTGTTAGATAGATCCATCGTATCTCCCCAACTCTGGGCGTCGCTTCGTCGGCTGCGAGCGAGACGCCTGTGCCGCCGCGCCGGTGGATGAAGGCGATCAAGGATTAGGAACAGCAGGGCCCCTTGCCTTGGCGATCCGATCCCGATCCCGATCCAATCCGATCCTCCATTCTTCCTTGGGCGGCCCCCCTCAGCTTCCTTCCACATGGCTCGTGCTCGTCCCCCACCGCCGCCCCCGCCCCCGTCGCTGCAGGGGAACGGGAACGGGAGCGGGAGCATCACCACCAGAGACGCCCTCGCCTACCTCAAGGGTCGTCAAGGACAAGTTCCAGGAAAAGCCCCACACGTACGAGCAGTTCATCCAGGTCATGCGTGATTTCAAGAGCAACAGGCTCGACAGCGCCGGCGTCATCGCCCGTGTCAAGACCCTCTTCCACGGCTACCCGGACGGCTTCAACGCCTTCCTGCCCAAGGGACAGTCCATCAGGCGTCAGGACCTCCTCCTCCACAAGGACAAGGAGCCCGTCGATTATCCCAGGGCCATCAGCCTTGTCAACAGGATTAAGGTCGGTCGGCTCTCTCTCCCTCCCTCCCTATGGCCTCAATCATATATGCATCTTTCCTTCTCCTTACCTCACTCATCTCTCTCTGCGGATCCTCAGAGCCGATTCCAGCAGGAGGAACATGTCTACAAGTCATTCCTGGGGATCCTCAATATGTACCGCATGCATAACAAGCCCATCCAAGATGTTTACGACGAGGTACCAGTACCATGCCTTCTCTCCACACGTCCTTGTGCATACGCCCATTGCCAATATACCTAATTCTCTTCTTCTTTGATTTGATTTGAATGACCTATTCTCTCCTACCCGCAGGTCACTGTGCTGTTCCATGGCCATCCTGATTTACTCGAGGAGTTCATTCATTTCTTGCCTGATACGCCCACGCCTCCTCCGCAGGCAGCCACTACCTCTAAAGCCAGGCATGATGACAAGAATGCTGTTATGCATTCTGCTACAAGAGCTCAGACCGTTCAACAGGTGAATCAACAAATTATAGAATCAATCACCCGTGTTCAATTCCAAATGCTTCTTCAATTGCTATATTTTATACTCCCCCTCCATCAATGTAGGCCATATACTTTTTAGTTTTTAGGACAGTCTCCACAATTTCCCAAATTGCGATAACATCGAGATAATCTTAAATTTCCTTTGAATGTGAATCTATTGATGCCACTTTTTTTTGTACACTAAACTGGTACATAGGTTGGCAAATTGTTGGTCAAACATTACATATTTTGACTTCTTCAAATCAAATTGATAGAGAAAGGCCAAGAGGCTTAGATTACTTGATGATGAGATTACAAGAGGGTTACATATATATATAGAGAGGCTAAGCTAGAGAGTTAAGAGGGGAGAAGTCCTGAACAACAAGTTTGGGAGTACCTAGGCAACACACTTGGGTAGAAACCCAAGAGGCACCCGATACAAAGTAATAGCTAGAGGAAATAACCCCCCATGAATCGGAACGTCGTTAGAACGAACGTTCAGACTAGAGCGAAAGTCCATAAAAACAGAAGAAGGAAGGCCCTTGGTGAAGACATCGGCGAACTGCGACGTGGTGGGAACGTGAAGCACACGGACAACCCCAAGGGCGACCCGTTCTCGGACGAAGTGAAGGTCGATTTCCACGTGCTTGGTACCCTGATGTTGAACGGGGTTGGTGGAGAGGTAGACGCGGCGACGTTGTCGCGATGAGACAGGCAAAGCGCGAAATCCGGAGGTGGTGCGGCTCTGCGAAGTTGCCGCAGCCAAGAGGCTTGGCGACGCCATTAACAGCATCCGCAGTATTCGACCTTGGCGCTTGACCGTGAAAACGAGTGAAATTTGGCGCTTGGGCGATCAGAGATGAGGCGCCACCGAGGAAGACAACATAGCTAGAGGTGGAACGGCGGGTGTCGTCAGCCACCCCGAGTTAAGCGTCGGTGTAGATGATGAGCCGAGTTGAGGCGAGCGGGAATGACAAGACCAAAACTGATAGTGCCCTGAAGGTAGCAAAGAATCCGCTTGGCAGCAACAAGATGAACTTCCCGGGGATCATGCATGTGCAAGCAGACTTGTTGAACGACGTATGTGATGTCGGGCCGAGTGAAAGTTAGGTCTTGGAGAGCACCCACAAGGCTGCGATATCTTTGTAGGATCATCAACGAGGGGCGGCATCAACAGAGACTTTGGCACAAGTGTCAGCAGTGGAGCAAGGCTTGCGATCGGTCATGCCGTGGCGAAACAAGAATGTCCAGAGTGTAATTGGGAGAGAAATAGAGTGTCCTTCATCATTTGAACTGCCACGCCAAGAAAATGGTGAAGGGGACCAAGATCCTTCATGGCAAATTCCTTCTTCAGTGCATCAATCACCCGGTATAAGAGTGACTGAGAGGAGGCTGTAACAACAATATCGTCCACATATAGGAGCAAGTAGACTGTCTCGGTGCCGCGGTGATGGATGAAGAGGGAGGTGTCGGACTTGGCTTCAGTGAAACCCAGAGATAGCAGATAAGAAGCAAACCGGCTGTACCATGCTCGCGGTGCCTGCTTCAAACCATAGAGGGACTTGTTGAGCCTGCAGATGTGTTCGGGAAGATCCGGATCAGCAAAATCGGTGGGCTGAGAGCAGTACACCGTTTCTGACAATGTCCCGTGAAGGAAAGCGTTCTTCACATCAAGTTGATGGATCGGCCAATCCCGAGAGTGAGCCAGAGTGAGGACGGTGTGAACGGTAGCGGGCTTGACGACGGGACTGAAAGTCTCATCGTAATCAACTCCGGGGCGTTGTGTGAACCCACGGAGCACCCAACGAGCCTTGTATCTGTCCAGTCAGCCATCAGCATGAAACTTGTGTTTGAATATCCATTTTCCTGTGACCACATTGACCTTGGCAGGCCGAGGAACGAGATCCCAAGTGTGGTTGTCCAAGAGAGCAGCGAATTCGTCTTCCATGGCCCAACGCCAGTGCAGAGTAGCAAGAGCATCTCAATAGGACCGCGGCAGTGGGGACAGAGCCTCGGTGTGTAGAGCAAGGCAAGGCTGTTTGTATCCGGACTTCCCGCGGGTTGCCATGCCATGAGAATTGGCGAGTGGCGGGATGGAGACCGCTCCTGTGGGCAGTGGAGGGCCACTCTTGACGTAGCGTGGTGGAGAGGGAATCATGCCGGAGCGTCGAGGAGCCCCAGCGGGGGACGTTGGTGGCGAGCTGGGTGCGGGGGCACGCCGGGTGTAGACATGGACGACGGGCGGCTTGCTGAAGAAGTGAGCCGGGGGCGCCTGCACAGGGGGAGCCGTGGGCGCCTGTACAGGGGGCGCCGTGGGCGCTTGTTCAGCGGGCGCCGGTGGAGGGGGTGCCATGGGCGCGGTGAAGCCGGGTGGAGGAGACCGGGACGCCAGTGTGCCTGGTCCCGGCGCCGGGGTGGCTGAAGGCACCGGCTGGGAGGGGGACCGCAGAGGTGCAGGCGCTGGTAGGGTGGCAGCGACCCCAGGTGTTTCTGCAGGGAGAAAAGGAACTGACGGAGGGTCGTCATCAGTTAGAAAATCTAGTTCGTGGGTAGGCGGGGAAGGCCGGCGAAGTGAGAAAGGGAACATTGTTTCGTCGAAAACAACGTGACGGGAGATGGTGACACAGTTTGTGGCGAGGTCGAGACACCTGTAACCCTTGTGATCGGGAGAGTAGCCAATGAAAATGCATAAAGAAGAGCGCGGGGCAAGTTTGTGAGGAGTGGTAGCGGTGAGATTAGGATAGCAGGTGCACCCGAAAGCTCGAAGGTCATGATAGGAAGGGTGAGTACCATAGAGTGCGAAGAATGGAGTGCTCATGTTCAGTGTTTTGGTGGGGAGGCGGTTTATGAGGTAGGTGGCAGTAGCAAGGGCATCGGCCCAGTAAGAGGGGGGCATGGATGCTTGGAAGAGTAGGGTGCAGGTGACATTGTTGGTGGAGCGAATCATGCGTTCGGCTTTGCCATTTTGCTGCGAGGTGTAGGGACATGACATGCGAAGAGAAACTCCTTTGGCAAGAAAGAAAGCACGAGACGCAGAGTTGTCAAACTCATGACCATTGTCACATTGCACGGATTTGATGGTACAACCAAACTGAGTGTGCACAAAGGCGAAGAAATTGGAGAGAACAGAGAAAGTGTCGGACTTTAATCGAAGGGGAAAAGTCCAAAGAAAATGAGAGCAATCATCGAGAACAACGAGATAATATTTAAATCCGGATACACTAACAATAGGGGATGTCCATAGGTCACAATGTATCAGATCAAAAATTTGAGGTGCTCTAGACAAGGAACTAGTAAAAGGTAAGCGAACATGGCGCCCAAGCTGACAGGCATGGCAGATGGAGTCATCTGTAGACTTGCTGCAGAAAATGGAAGATGACTGGGCAAGACTCTGAAGGGTAGCCTTGCCGGGGTGGCCGAGACGACGATGCCATGTAGTTGGAGAAGGAGTGGTCACAAGAGCACAAGGGTCAGAGGGCGACGATGGGAGCTGCAAGGTGTAGAGCGGCCCTGAGCTGTTACATCGAAGGAGGATGTCCCTGGTACGGAGATCCTTCACAGAAACACCAAGAGGGTCAAACTCCACAGAAACAAAGTTATCAGTAGTGAACTGGCGAACGGAAAGGAGATTTTTAATGATGTCAGGAGCTATAAGGACATTGTTGAGACGGAAAGGGCCAGAAAGAGTGGAGTATCCGGTGCCAATAACCGGTAGAGTGGCGCCATTTCCCACAACAATGGAGAAAGGAAAAGAGGAGGATGGAGATACGGTAACCATACCAGGGTTGGAGGCAATGTGAGACGAAGCACCTGAGTCGATCACCCAGTCCGAAGAGGTCGGTGGCGGGGTGAGGGTGACGGTGCTGAAGGCGTTGGCGAGGGACTGAGGATCCCATGGTGACCAAGCAGGGGGCGTCAGAGGTGGTGCTGGCGTCCAGGCAGGATGAGGCGCCTGGGTGGGCACCTGTTGGTATGTCCCAGGAGCCGAAGGGTAGTAGGATGGAGGCACGCCGGCCACCAGAGCATGCTGCTAAAGCTGCTGCGATGTAGGCGGGCCGGTGCGGAGATGTGGACCGTGAGGGCCACCGGGATTAGCCCCGGGCCACATGTGAATGGACTCGGTCCACGGGTTGAGGAGAGAGGGCCACTGGGAACCACCGGGTGAGCCGCTGTTCGAGCCGCCTTGGCCACGGCCGCCACGACGACGCCGGCCACGACCATTACCAGAGAAGCCCCCCCGGCATTCTGTTGAGGACGCTCCCCGGCGTTCTGTTGAGGGCGCTGGGTTGCAGACCCAGAGGCCGGCTGGGATGCAGGTGGCTTGCTGGACGAAGAGACGATGAGAGCCGATGGAGGTGCCGATGGAGAGGCCATGTTGAGCTCGGTCAGGCGCAGGTCGGCGCGGACGTCCGCAAAGGAGGGAAACGGCTTCTGGCGCGTGATGAACTGTGACATGAACTGGAAGCGCTCATTGAGGCCTCTCAGTATGTTTAGTACCAGAGTACGGTCATGGACGGGCTCGCCAAGATCGGCAAGGGCATCAGCCATGCCCTTCATCTTGCGGCAGTAGTCGTCGATGGAGAGGGCGCCCTGGGAGAGAGTACGGAACTCAGCGTCGAGGAGCATGGCGCGTGACTCGCGATTGTTCAGGAACTGCTGTTCAATGCCGAGCCATGCAGCCCGAGCGGAGATGCCGTCACGCTCGTGGATGACGTCCAGAAGATCGGTGGAGATGGTGTTGAAGATCTAGGAGACGACCACGCAGTCCATGCGGGACCACGCAGGATCGGTGAAGCGGGAGGCGTCACTGAGGACGTGATCCTTCAACGCGAAGCGGCCGAGGATGAGGAGGACGTAGCCACGCCACTTGGAGTAGTTGGAGGACTGGAGGTCCAGAACGATCGGAATCAAGTTCTTGATGTTCTGGACAGCGGCAGCCTGGCTGTGCAGATGAGCGATGGTCGCGGCGTCGGAGGAGAAGGAGTGATCGCCGCCGTCCTGAGAGCCGTCGTCGTGGAAGGAGTCCGTGCGGAGACGGTCCCGGAGGGCAGCGGCCTGCTGTTCCAGGGCGTCGGTTTGCGTGCGCTCCTTCTCGAGGGCGTTAGCTGCGGCACGAACGCGATCCTGAGCGGCAGCAGCGGACTTGAGGAGATCAGCCTCCGACTGAAGCTGCTGGCTGCGGTCAGTGTTGGTGGAGTGCAGGGAGGCGGCCTCCTCTTCCAGCTTCTGGGCGGCGGCGAGAGCTTCATCACGAAGCTTGATCGCGGTAGCCGCGGTGGAGGCGCCGGAGGTTGAAGTGGCCATGGGCGCGCGGCTGGGCAGCTTCAGGCACGCCGGCGGCAGGGAAGGGTCGCGGGCTGCGGCGGCAAGGAAGGGCACGCGGGGTGGGCGTGACCTGAGGCGGGCTGCGGCGGCAAGGAAGGGCGCGCGGGGCGGGCGCGACCCGAGGCGCGCGCGCGAGAGAGAGGAAGGGACGGGCGCGGCTCGAGGCGGGCGCCGAAAGGAGCGGAAGCAGAAGAATCGTTAGTCTGATACCATGATAGAGAAAGGCCAAGAGGCTTAGATTACTTGATGATGAGATTACAAGAGGGTTACATATATATAGAGAGAGGCTAAGCTAGAGAGTTAAGAGGGGAGAAGTCCCAGGCAACAAGCTGGGAGTACCTAGACAGCACACTGGGTAGAAACCCAAGAGGCAGCCGATACAAAGTAATAGCTAGAGGAAATAAATACTCTAACACAAATATTTGTTAGGATGAAATGTACTGTTAGCCAGTAGTTTTTCTCCATGGCTAAAGTGTTTTGTTAGGAAGAGTAGAAAATTTCCCCATAGTATCAGTTTTACTAACTGTCCTGCACTGTTTAATGAACTCAATGATAATACTGTTGAACGTATTTTTCTATATGAGTTTTAGGATAAGTATAAGCTGACGAAAAGTTATCCATGTTACTTGTGGGTTGTATGCGCACAACTAAACATGCAAGTGCATGTAATAATTTGCTAATTAGGTCCTTGTTCCTGCATTATTTACCCCTTTAAACTTCAAGACGCTATGTTCTTCTTTATATCTCCAGAGGGAGAGAGCTTTTCCATCAACTGCTGATTGGGACTCCAGTGTTGATCGCCTTGATCTTGAGCATGATATTAAAAAAAGGTGTATTGAGAAGGAAAAAATTCGTAATGCCTGTCGCAGTCAGCATAGAAGAGGTTATAAAAGGAATGAGAAGAATAACGAATATAAAAACGAAGATTTGTATGCAGAGCGATGTGGTCACAAATCTCAAAGAAAGATGGAGGGTACTGGTGATGACACACTAGGTGGTGCTACCATGTCTCCTTTCTCATTCAATTGTAAGTATGTACTGAAAAGCGAGTCTCTTGCCATCCCCATATTGAATTGTGCTAATGTTGATTTATCCATGCATACATGTATTATGAGTTCTTCATTGCCTTGAACCCCCTGGTTTGTGTGAACTCTGGAATCCATCATGTGTGAACTCTGGAACCCCCTGCGGCGCTCGATACAAGCGCGTTGTATGTTTGCCTAAATTCTTCTACCTAATACAATGATACGCAAAGCTTTTGCGTATTCGAGAAAAAAATCATGTGCTTTTGTTCCTCTATGTATGCCTTATATTTCTTTTATTTTTCTCCCTATTTGATGTATTAGATCCATGATTCATCTCTTGCTATGTTAATTCAGGTTCACACACACAAGAGTTTCAATTCTGTGAGAAAGTAAAGGCACAGCTAGAGCCTGAAGCTTACCAAGAGTTCTTGAAATGCCTTCACATATACAGCCAAGAAATTATTACAAGAAGTGAACTGAAAAGATTGGTAAGTCAATATGATGTTATTTCCAGAGGCTGATCTAGTTTGTAGTTAATGATCTATGTGACTTGCTACATGACAACCAGGGTAGGTAAATCCTTTTTGAATTTTCTAAAATGTTTTTTTTTTGTTTTTCAGGTAAAAGACATACTTCAGCACTACCCGGATCTTGTGAATGGATTCAATGACTTCTTGGGACACTGTGAAAATATAGGTGGATCATTTGTTTTGAATGCCAATTTATTGGATGCACCTCCATGATTTAATAACCTTTGAATATATTGTGTTTTTCTATGAATAATTACTCCTTATACTCTGCAGATGGCTTTCTGGAAGGAACCTTCAATAAAAGTAAGGGAAGCTAGCTTTGAAGCTCATAGTTTCATTTGTTTTACTTTTTTAGGCGCCTCGTTTATGTTTGTGTTAGTCTTTTGGAATGAAGGGCAAACATCACGGATGGTTAAACCTGTGGAAAAAGAGAGATATAAGGAGCACGAGGGGGATAGCGATCCTGAGAAAGAGAGATATAAGGAAAGGGAAAAATCTGAAAAAGTATTGGCGTTCAATTCTAAGGAAGGAGCAACTCATGAAGTTACTGCATTCCCTAGCAAAGAAAATTATAACTTATGCAAACCAATATCAGAGCTTGATCTGTCAAATTGTCAGCGGTGCACTCCAAGTTACCGACTTTTGCCTGAAAATGTGAGCTGATCTAACTCTTTATTTTATAATAATAATAATGTCTTCCATGTCATCACATATTTTTACTTGTCCTTTTCAGTATCAAGTGCCTTCTGCAAGCAACAGGACTGACACTGAAGCTTCAGTGCTGAATGATCTCTGGGTATCAGTGACCTCAGGAAGTGAAGATTATTCGTTTAAGCATATGCGCAAAAATCAGAATGAAGAAAGCTTGTTTAGATGTGAAGATGGCAGGTATGGAGTTTTTGTTCTCTGTTTGACTATTGCCTAATTGTTGCTACATTGCAGCACTTAGTCAATTGGTTCACAATCACCGTGTTTGTAAGACATTTTATTTTTATAAGAGGAACCTTACTAACCAGGATTTTTGTTATGATGACTGACGTTCATTCAAAGCAAGTGCTTTGTTGTTATGTTAGATAAAAACTCGACCATGGGGGTATATCATTACATTTAGGAAATCCAGTATTTTATTGGTATCTGATTTTGGTCCACAATCAGTAGATGATTAAGTTTTTCCTCAGGGATATGTTACTTGAAACTGCCGAGGCTCACTGGGAACTTCAGTCTGTTACTCAGTAGTGTAACTTAAATTTGACACATAAGGTGGCACGCTACATGATGACCCTTTGTGTCTTGTTCTACTGCGATCTGTCATTCATCATAGCAGAGTAACATCTAGTTTATGGTATTTTTTTTGGTAGTAGATGGTCAGCATGTCTCAAGATCATAGTCAAAACTTGTGAAGTGGATGATTTCAGGTTTGAGCTGGACATGCTGTTGGAATCTGTTACTGTGGCAATTAAGCGTATTGAGAAGTTGGTGGAAAGGATGGAAGGCAACTCACTCAAACCAGACAGCTCTATCCACCTCGATGAACATTTGACTAGTAAGAATCCACATTTGTGCAATTGAACATGCCTCTATATGTATGGTGGTTGTCTCCTGTCCTTTTGTCAAACAGCATGCATATCATTGAACTCTTTTTTTCTCTTGATAGCTTTGAATATGAGGTGCATTGAGTGGCTATATGGTGACCATGGACTTGATGTTGTGGATGTTCTTCGAAAAAATATTGGTGTGACATTACCAGCTATTTTAACCAGGCTTAAACAAAAGCAGGAGGAATGGTCAAGGTGCCAGTCAGATTTTTATAAAGTTTGGGCTGAAGTATATTAAAAAAATTATCACAAGTCTCTTGACCATCACAGTTTCTATTTCAAACAACAAGACAAGAAGAATCTGAACACAAAAGGTATGCACATGTTCTTCATTGTGTACTATCCTTCCTTGGTATGTACTGGCCTACTGTTTCTGAACTCATGAACCTTGCACAGCTCTATTGTCTCAGATTAAAGAAATCAGTGAGAAGAATAGGACGGGGGATGATGTGCTACTTGCTATTACTGCTGGGAATAGGTGGCCACTAGTTCCCAACATGTCATTTGAGTATGTGGATTTGGACATTCATGAAGATCTTTATCAGATAATCAAATACTCTTGCGGAGAACTATGCAGTTCTTCAGATCAAGTTAATAAAGTGATGAGGATCTGGACAACATTTTTAGAGCCTTTGTTAGGGATTCATCTTAGGGCTCATGGTGCTGAAGATGCAGATATGGTAAAATCAAAGAGGCGAACTGGAAAAGTTGGTTTGTCATGTGGTGGGAAAAGAAATAATGCTACAGCAAAGGGTACACCCTTTTTAGCTACCTTACGCTGTCTCATAGCTTAATTGATTGTTGTTTGACTACCCAGTTCTCAGTGGTTTAATCTTATCTGATAGGTGGTAATGGCTCTAAAAGTGCTGGAGCTGAGTCTGGCTGAATTTGTGGGTACGAATGAAACAATTCCATCTATGAGGGTATGGTCATTCCTAAACTGGATCACTGCCGATGAGTGTGTTATTTCTACCTTTCTTTTTCATTGTTCAATTGAAGCATATGTGGTGAAAGAAAAAAAAGCATATGTGGCTCGAGGATTATCCCTCTTGGATGCCCTCGCTCCGGGTGGTTAGAGCCCTGTCTACCTTGGTCGTGATACTTATGTCACGGGCACGTTAGTTTCCTAGCAGCATGCTGCAGCAGCAGCGGAGTGTGTGTGTGTAGAGTTGTGTGGGTTCTTATCCCATTTTATTATCTTCTTAATATAACGATGCGCAGCTCTCCTGCATTTTCGAGAAAGAAAGAGAAAAAGCATGAAAACTAGATATATAAGTGATAGGATTCAGGGTTCCACATCTTTTCTATTTCCTTAAAAAACATTGAAGACACCCAATTTTTTTTTGTTAATAATCATTATCATTCCAACAGAGCAGAAAACATGGGAGGATGACATCTTTGTATGGAGTGGGTGTACATCCATTTAATGAATATTCGGGGTCCCACAACAATTTAAGGCCTGAAAGAGAAGAGGGTGAATTATCTCCTAATGGCGATTTTGAAGAGGAAAACTTTGGTGTTTTCAAAGATGAAGCTATATATGGAACTTCTAAACAAAATGGAGGTTCTACCAGCAGATCTCTCCAGGGTAGACCTAAGGAAGTTCTCAAGTTTTCTGGCAAGAATCATGCAGGTGCAGAAAATGAAGGTAACGAGAGGGCCCAGAGGTCTGCAGAGGATAGTGAAAATGCATCTGAGGCTGATGAAGATGCCTCTGGCAGTGAATCTGGTGGTGGTGAGGAGTTTTCTCATGAAGATCAAGCGGAAGAAGAGGATGATATGGATCTTGATACAAAGGTAAGTGACGGTGGAGCAGAGGTAAATACAGAGGCACAGGGTTTGGATGGAGGAATATCACTGCCATTTTCAGAATGTTTGCGAAGTACAGTTAAACCACTTTCCAAGTACGTTTCCACAGCATTACCAAACCATGAAGAGAAACTTTCTCATATATTTTATGGAAATGACTCATTTTATGTTCTGTTCAGGCTACATCAGGTTAGTTTCTTTTTTCTTCAGTAACCTTGCAGGGTCTATGAGTTTGTGCCTATGTGGTCTCATTGGCTAACCTTTATTGATTGCAGATCTTATATGAGAGAATATTGTCAGCTAAGACAAACTCTTCTACATCAGACAATAACTGGAAAGCTTCAAAGGATACAAATTCTCCAGACCAATATTCAAGGTATTGTCAACACTCTGGTTTCATGGAAGACTTGCTGTATATGGCTTATGTATTTTAGTGCAGGTTTATCAGTGCACTATACAACTTGCTTGATGGTTCTTCTGACCACACCAAATTTGAAGATGACTGCCGTTCCATCATTGGGACTCAATCATATGTTCTCTTTACTTTAGATAAACTGATATACAAAATTATGAAGCAGGCAGGTTGTGTCAAAGACCATATCTGTTTTATTTTTTAATAGTTACATTATTAATTTTTGAGTGAAATACATTGGCGGCCCTTTAACTTGTCGGCCTATGCCAGTCCAGTCCACGAACTTACAAACGTGAAAAATGGGTCCCTCAATTTGTCAAGTTTACCGCAGATCCATTTCCCATCCGGCACGGCCTCCAGGGGACGTGGCAGCGCTAAGCGTGGCCGGACGGCTTGCGACCAGCGACCTGACCCACACTCTGTCTGCTCCTCTCGCCGCTGGGGCTCCCGTCCACTTCACGGCGCGAGCCGCACCTCCAGGAGGCCAGCATCTGCACTGCAGCCGGGGCGACACCCTACCAGCGGCGGTGCGCTTCACATATGGGCGACGTGCCACACGAGTCCCCACCCGGACCCAGCCCCTTTCCCGGCGACATGCAACCGCTCTTGAGCCCTCTGCGGCCGCTGCGCTGGCAGCCCTGGCAGCGGCAGCTCTGGCGGGCTTCGCCATGACCCACCGCTGTCGTTGTCCTCCACGACCGCATGGCTCGTTCAGCGGTGGCCGAGGCCACGCTGCCAGCCGCCGAGGCCCTCGGCGTGCATCGCCTCGCCGCCTCCTACAACGTCGGGTGGGCGGACCGAGCACGCCTCGCTGCGCCGCCATGGCCTCGTGTTCCACCCTTTGGCGCTTTCGCCCACCCCGGAGTTCGCCGCTTTCGCCGAGCGGATGGGGTAGAGCGCCGGTGCGAGCCCGACGCCGCGATGGTCGTCCAACACCGCCGCAGCGCTCGAGGGCGCTTCCTTAGCGATGCTCGAGGATCTCGTCTTCCGACGGCCGTAGGCTCGTTTCGCCATCGAACCTCTCGGCCGGTGCTCCTCCCCGCGCGGCGCGGCGATGGGGCTGGCGGCGGGAGCTCGCGGCGGCGAAAGTGCTGGGCGCGCTCGGCCAGCGCGGCCGTCGTCGTCGTCGTCGTCTTGTCAGACGTCTCGTTCGGCACGACGTCGTTCTTCGCGCCCTAGAGCGAGTGCGGCGAGATAACCGCCCAGCCGCTGCGGAATGGCTGCGCTTCGTGTGGGTCTTTGCCAGCGACGCCGACCGCGCGGACTCATGGCTGCGGCGGGGAAGGGATGCCGCGGCCGAGACCCTCCGTCTGCCGCCGGGCGTCAAAGCTCGGCCTGGCGACGCCCGTACCGGCGTGGTGGTCACCGGTGGCGCCCGCACTGGAGATCTGGCGCGCGGCGCGACGGCGACGTTCATGAGCCACTGTGGCTGGAACTTCACCATGGAGAGCCTCAGCCACGGGAAGCCCATCCTGGCGTGGCCCATGCACAACGACCAGCCCTGGGACGCCGATCTCATCTGCAAGTACCTCCGCGCCGGCGTGCTCGTGCGCCCCTGGGAGCGGCGCCACAACGTGAACCCCGCGGCCGCGATCCGCGACGCCATCGATAGGGTTATGGCCTCGGAGGAAGGCGCCAAGATCCAGTGGCGGGCGGCCGCGCTCGGGGAGGCCGTCCGCGGCGCCGTGGCCGAGGGCGGGTCATCCCGGTGGGACTTGGACGAGCTCGTCGCGTACGTGACGAGGTGATCCATGGTCCGTGCGGCGACTGTGCCACAATGTGGCGTCCGTGTGGCGACTTCGTCCACCACGCTGGCACTGTCACGTTTGGGCATAAACAACCATAGAAATTTAAGCAACTATAACTAAAAATCTACTTAACCAAAAAATATGCTTTTTAGCTTTTTGAAAAGCTTCAGAAAAGTACTACAACTCATTTATTTTCATCAAGGCATGATTCATAACTTAGCTGAGCCAATTAATACAAACATGCAGGCCTATTCAGAATAAGAGAAAAGCAACATAGGGCATTTGTTATTTTTATAGATCTTAAACTATCAAGCCTAAACTTCTAAATTTTTTTAACACACATCAAACATCACCTGAGTAGAATTACATAAAAATTTCACATTTATTTGAGCAATACAACTACAGTTATGAAAAAGACAAGACATAACTAGTATTAAAAACCTAACCGCATAAATTGATTTTTACAGCAAAAACTTTAATCTAAAACATGCCATGTTATAGATCTACTGCGTAGATAATTTCACAAGGATTCCAAAAATTCCTCATTTACTATTTTACGATTTTTCTACTAATTACTACGAATTTCCAAAGTTGATCATCCAAATCTGCATAAACCAAAGAAAGGAATGTAGATCTTGCATCGGGGACCCTATAGTTCTCATAAAATAGACTCCAGCGAAGAGGTCCTTATGAGCACTATTCACATGAGTCACTACTTCGCATAAAGATCCTTCCCTTTTCTTGAATTGTTTCGTGACGTCCCTGTCGTGAGTTGGGAGCAGGGAGGTCGTCGGGGACGGTGATTTTGGCCAGAGGAGGCCATGCCGGCGGCCGAGGAGTCGCAGTGAAGCATCCCCATCGCCAGGCGCACCCTAGGGAGGGGACGGCTCCGCCTGCCCCAAGGGGCTCGCCCACATGCACGCATGGCGATGGCGGCTGCGTGGCCCGACGCCGGTGCGACTTCGGCCTACAAGGGCCCGGAGAGTGCGCGTAGGAGGATGAACAAGGCGAGGCGGACGCGGTGGTGTGCTCAGCTTGACCTGCGACCGAACACATCAGCGAGAATGATGGCATGGACGCGAGCTCTGGAGCTCGGTCGTGGCGGACACGAGAGGGCACGCGGAGAGTGGCGAGGAGAAGGGCTGGGAGTGGGGAGCTCAGGCGGGTCGCTCTGGTGCTCCACTACGCCGAGTGAGGCGCGGGGCACGCGGTAGAGAGCAGGGGTGCATGGCGGCCACGTCCACAACACACGTCGGTTCTGTTCATCAGATTCAAAACTCAAATTCTACCCCAAAAATATGACTGAACATCAATATTTTCCCTTTCTTATCTCCTAATCTGTTTAGTTTTGGCACAAGCGGTAGTAACAAATGTTATAGAGCTATATGAGGACTACAACTTTGCTTAAATTTGTTTGGTCTAACTAGGATTATATTGGAAGATAGAGAGCTGCAAAGTAGGGCTCATGAAACTAAAAATTCAGTTTTCAGTTAACCGAGAGAGCAAATTTTCGAGCTCCCAAAACAGCCAAGGATTCCAACTTGAGGGCTCGGTTTGACTTGCTTACAAGCTGATCTAGATCTTGGTCCAAAAACAAAGTTTGTTATACTTCAGTCAAACTTCAACTTTTATTTAAGGTGCAACTCCATACAAGCATTGTAAGCGATTGATCAACATAGGTCAAAATAGGATCATGGTAAAACTTAAATTAGAGTTTTAGACCGATTGAGGCATTTTCTGGCCACTTGCTCAACATGAACCCTTCATAACTTTTGTTCATGAGTGTAAGTAGAGTTGTTTGAGCCAGGTTGCAAGGTTTGGTCGACATCTCATATTCCTATTTACTTAATAAAGCAATCCAAGAAAGATTATAACTTAGCATTTCATGTGACTTCTTGATTCCAAATTTCATGAAACTTTTCCACTAGTCAAGATTGATGCATGTTGATGTAATGTACATGAAATAAGCATGTTTAACATTACTCTTGCATAATCTTAACAAGGGTACACATGTAAGTAAAGGTGTGTTGTCCAAGTTCAAGTTGGAGCTCACTCTTGTAGATTTGATCTTGACACCTTCATCACCACTTAACATGTCATGTTTAAGCTCAAACCCATTGCTTAACTAGTGACAAACACCTAGGGTGTTACATGACGCTTCCCCAAGCTCTCCCTCACATCTCTCCAACTACTTGCTCTATATAGCTAGCTAGGGCCTAAGCCCTTTGGAGTGGTGCTCTTGTGGTATAGTTCTTTGCCTTGAGGTGTTGTTGAAATGAGGAGGCCTCCCCCATCTATTTATAGGAGTGGAATGGTCAGTTTAGAGGAATATTTTTGGAAGATCCGCTTGCAACTGCCTTGAAGGAGCCACTAGGAGACGCCACGTGGAAGGAGGGAAGGATCCGCATGCAACTGCATTGATGGAGCACCCAGGTGTTGCCTGCCCATGAATGCCTTCTGCATGGAAGTTGCATGTTGTTGGCGGTCACTAACAATCGAATCCGACCGCCAAATAAAGTCCAAAACAGGAGAAATAAACAATCTTTTGACACACATACATTTACTATTGACATAATTCCACTTGTATTGGAGAAAACATGTTTTGCAAGACACACATTCGAATACAAGTGGAAAACCAAGCAAAAGGCACAAAACAAAAAGCATAAAGCAGAAATGCGCAACGAGAGAAATGGAGAAGCCCACCTTCATGCAACAACTTGGGCCGAGCACCATCGAGGGAAGGGTCCAGGCCCACCCAGGAACTGACCATGCAAAGGCGGTCACATGGTGGGCCCACCAGGGTGCGGGCGCACCCTAGGCGCGGCCACACCCCGCCGCCGCTGTCGACACAGAATTTTCGTCTCCGTGTCGAGGACACACGCAGCAAGCCGAAGGGTCCGCTCGATGGAGCAGATCCGCCTAGCTTCAGCGCAGGGGTGGTCGATCCCACGCAATCCTCCCGAGACGTGCTAGTCAATTTGACCCTGCAATTGACAAGGAGAAAGTTTATCAGTAATTAAGGACGGAACGTGCCGGTATTGCCAGACAGTCCCGAATGTGCGGCTCTGAGAGCCGATATGAGAGGAGATCGACTAAATAGTCGATTCCAGCATATTCATAAGAATAAATTAGTTAAAGCTCATGGGGCTGTGTAAGAAGAATCAGTTATCATTCAGGATAAATATCGTTATTTGAGCAAATATTAATCAATGACAATAAGATATCAATGATGATTGGTTTATGCTAAGATAATGATTACAAGTAACCGAACCCCTTTTATATAAAGAAACAATTCAGCACCATTGAACCATTTTAATAAAGATAAATCTAATGAACATATTAGATCTCATCTATCGCTGCGACCATTGGGGCATGAGGCAGAATCATGCAGGCCGTAGAAATAACAATAGACTCAACGATCCTAACTCATTACTAATATCAGTGGGGCATGAGGCAGAATCATGCAGGCCGTAATACAATAATAATATCATGGGGCTAACACATCTTTCAACCTATCTTTATTTCAACGGTCTCGTGACGCGAATTGTTCGTGAAAGCACTCGATATCGACTAAAACAGCTGATTCAGGCATAGCGCACAGTTAAGGTCATGCCTTATCAAGAATAAATCTACTAAATAACGATCCCCACTCCACGGTGCTAACAGTGGGGTGTGAGGCAGAATCACACAAGCCGTGATAACGGGCCATGGAACGGTTTTCGCTAGCCAATAGATCTGCCCAAGACGCAACATGCCTTAACCGCATGTTATGCACGATTAAGATTGACATAAAACAGCCGATAAAACACAACTCATCGTTTAAGGTGTAGATTAGATCAATTTTAGATTAGCAAACAATAGGCTAAACAAGATATAAGGCCGATCTAGATCAATCCCAATTGGGCAGAGTGATATTGTTGTAATTTAGATAAATAATGAAAGCAATAAGTAATATCGTTAACTTAATGAATCTACCAAAGACTACCATTCTAAGGTAGAGCCGATAAGTTGACCTTGATCTAATTCAAGTAGTGGGGTGTGAGGCAGAATCACACAGGTCATACTTGAACTAGACAAGAGTCGATAACTAGCTTATACCAGAGCCACAGTGGGGGTCGACCAGATCGATGCAGCCATACGAACAGAGGTATAAACCATGACGGTACTTACAGACAAGCAGTGGAGGTCGATCGGATCGATGCAGCCGTACTCGCTGAAGAACTCGCCGAGATCTACTCTACTCCTACTCCTAAGGGGTGGCCGGAGACGAAAAAAGTAATTGACTTGTATTTGGATTGATTGTTCTTTTCTTTTTGACAATAGCCGGGGTTTGATATTTATACCCGGAGTCTAAACATGAATCCTACTTGAGCACGATTCGTTACAATCTTTGGCATAAACGAAAATATTCCTAATTTAAGATAACTTGGACTCTAATCTTTCTCCTTTTTAGAGTCCAGCATGTTCCGCTCCAGCGCCGATCGTAGCCTCTGCCGTTATCTGCTGGCGCTATCTGAAGAAAACCAATTCCAGTGCTGCATCCGATTCAGCTGGTTCCGATCTGCACGCAACTAATTCCTTGATGACATGATCCCGAGAGCTTTCAAGTTCCTACAACTCTTCTTCCAAATTCTGGTGTAAACACATGCCCCCCAATTTTAGGATAAAAGTAATTTTATTCTAAAATTATCATGTTTGTATCTTCGATGGGTCTGTAGTCATGGGTAGAGAATCTTGATCTGGGGTCTACTGTTTGTCGCCGCCTATGTCAACTCATGAGCCCATGCTTCACAACCTTTACGAGAGCATCATTGCTTCATGGGCACTTGGATTCAACCTTCTAGGCCGGCTATAAAAATGCCTGTCCGACCCCGGCGAGAGCAACTCAACGCACCTTCATCAAAGGATAGCATGGAGGTGGAGCGACATTTGTTTTATATTTCTAATTTGTTCAATTTTAAATTTCAAAGTTTGGGAGAGTTTTGAGGGTAGTGTTGCAC